GGTGCACTGTGACATCCTAAAGGCGGGGTGGATTATGGTCGTAGCTTTATCAGTCCTAGGGTTGTAGTCGAAAAGGTCGGTGATCTTCCTCCAAAACTCACCCGCACAATAGTTACGGGGGGGGCTATCCTTTGGCCCTATGGTGCCGTTAATTGGCCACCCAAAAGCTTGGTTCACCCTCTTTATGTTCAAGTTGTGTAGGGTGTCCATGAGTTGGAAGGTAAGGCGGAGTTGGGATCTATTGTTGTCTCGTTGCACTTGAAGGGTGGAGAGGAATTCAAGTGTCAACCTTTTGAAGGTCGGGGCGCTTAAACTAGCCAATTTCCTAAGCCACAACCCTCGAAAAGCATCCTAACATCGTCCCCTACCCCTAAAGCCTCGGCAACACCCTCGTCATAGAACTTTGTAGGTTGAACTCTCCTCCTACTTATTCTTACATAGTTGTTCAAAAATGTTGGGTCATTGAACACGATTCCCATAGTGTCCATATGTGGTGGATCAACGGGAGGAGGAGGAGAGGGGTTGCGGTACCTAGCATCCGTGTTTCTAGGTCGATTTCTTCTAGACATGGTCTGTCTCAATGCAATGCAATCAAACAAACCAAGACAAAATAATCACCTCGCAACCACACAAAGAGACTAAGTCCACAAGTCGACCAACCAAAGCTCAAACAAGGCCAATGAACACAACACAATCAAGTCAAGTTCTAAGTCTCCCACCTAAAACAAGCAAATCACCAAGCAACAAAGACCACTTCAATAATGCATCTACAACAATTCTACATCGATTTCATGCAATATTATCAAACAAACCAACACAGCAATCCACCTAAACAAGCATGTTCTTCCTTCATGAAAATCAATTTTTCAACCTCACTTCAAAAAAAAAATCCAATTCTCAAAACACACCAAAATTCATTCAAACTCAATAATGCTTTTCAATTATCAACTATCAATCACTCACAACCAATTCAAACAAACTTTCTCAAGCAATTTCATGCAAAAATTCAAGGAATTAAACATGAAATTAGTAAAAGGGAGGAAAGATTATACCGAGCTTATCGTGGGTGTAAAACCCGCAAATGAACCTTTCTAACCTTTCTCTTGCTTGCTTGAACTTACTCCTTCAACCAATTGTCTTGAACTTCAACTCCAAAGAAAACCCCAAATTGATTTTTCAAGGTTAGGGTTTGAGTATTTTGGGTGATTTTTGGGTTTGAAGGTGAGAAAGGAGTAGTAGATTGTGAAAATGTTGAAATGGAGTGAAGACTTTGGAGAAAATTGTTGAATTTGGGTGAGGATTTGGGTGAGAATGGAGAATTTAGTGGGTTTTGAAGGAGGAAGTAAGAGTTTTAGAGAGAGGAGGAGTGAGAATCGTGAGATAGAGAGTGTGAAGGAGTGAATTTTTTTTTTATGTTATAACCGTGCTGCTGCCAGCCATTTTCAGGGCGGCACGGACGTGCAGCCTCAGACAGAAACGTGGGTAGGGTACTGACTTATTTGGCACGGACGTGCTAAGTTGCACGGACGTGCTAAGTTGCACGGACGTGTGTAATTTGGCACGGACGTGCAGCCTCAGACAGAAATTTAGGTAACATACTGACTTGTTTAGCACGGACGTGCAGGACTTAGCACGGACATTCTTAGCCACCTTACACGGACGTGCTTAATTTGGCACGTCCGTGCCAATCTGGAGAAATTTATTTCAAAAGTTCTGATTGCTTCTACTGCCTCTGCACGGACGTGCGATGCTCTGCACGTCCGTGCAGACCTGTTGCTGCACGATCCTTTCCTTTTTTTTTGAATAATAGTAATAGTAAGGCATAATAATAATAATAATAATAATAATAATAATAATAATAATAATAATAATAATAATAATAATAATAATAATAATAATAATAATAATAATAATAATAATAATAATAATAATAATAATAATAATAATAATAATAATAATAATAATAATAATAATAATAATAATAAAATTATTATCATTACCATTATTATTATTATTATTATTATTATTATTATTATTATTATCTACTACTTCACTTCCACAAAAACCTTTTCTTACTTTTATTTTCATCAACACCTACAAAAGACATTGAGAGAAAAGTTAGTAATAGTAAGAGTGATGGAAATTAAATAATAGTTTGTGAGAGAGAGAGTTGAGAAACTCGGGTTGCCTCCCAGAAGCGCTCTTTTAACGTCACTAGCTTGACGACATTGCGAGATCAATGAGAGTAGGGAACATCAAACTCATCAAGGTGAACAACCTTGGCTTCCTCATGCACAAAACCGTCAAAGTATGCCTTAAGCCTTTGGCCATTCACTTTGAACGGTTCACCATTGTCATTTGAGATTTCTATCGCTCCATATGGAAACACCTTCTTAACGGTGAAAGGTCCACTCCATCTTGCCTTAAGCTTACCCGGAAACAACTTCAACCGGGAATTGAAAAGTAGGACCTTATCACCTTCCTTAAACTCCCTTTTGCTAATATGCTTGTCATGCCAAGCCTTGGTCTTTTCTTTGTAAATCCTTGCACTCTCATATGCATCCATTCTTAATTCTTCCAAGGCGTGGAGGTCAAGCAACCTCTTCTCACCGGCGCTTTGAAAGTCGAAATTCAATGTTTTGATAGCCCAATGAGCCCGATGCTCAAGTTCTACCGGCAAGTGGCATGACTTCCCATAAACAAGCTTGTATGGTGTGGTGCCAATAGGAGTTTTGAACGCGGTGCGATAGGCCCATAGAGAATCATCAAGTTTGTAGACCAATCTTTTCTAGACCTATCCACCGTTTTCTCAAGGATCATTTTTACATCCCGGTTTGAAATTTCAGCTTGACCACTTGTTTGGGGGTGGTAAGCTAATGACACCTTGTGCCTCACGCCATATTTCTCAAGGAGAGCTTGAAAGGATCGCTTTGCAAAGTGTGAACCTCCATCACTAATCACAGCCTGGGGCACTCCAAACCTTGGGAAAATTACTCTTTTGAAGAGCTTAACCATAACCTTAGCATCATTAGTATGAGATGCAACTGCTTCCACCCACTTTGATACGTAATCGACGGCCACTAGAATGAACTTGTTCCAAAAGAGCTCGGGAAAGGCCCCATAAAATCGATGCCCCATACATCAAAAATTTCAAGTTCAAGGATGTTGTTCAAAGGAATTTCATTTCTTTTTGAAATATTACCGGTTCTTTGACACCGGTCACAAGCTTTCACCACACCCCACACATCTTTGAACATTGTTGGCTAAAAGAAACCGCATGGCAATATTTTCGCCAAGGTCTTGTTGGCACTCATATGTCCTCCACAAGGTGAGGATTGACACATTGTGATAACATCTTCAATTTCATTATTCGGGACACACCTTCTAAAAAGGCCATCAACACCTTGTTTGAAGAGCAAGGGGTCGTCCCAAAAGTATTGGCGAACATCATGAAGAAACTTCCTTTTTTGTTGATAAGAGAGGTCGGGAGGAAGAATAGAGCAAGAAAAGTAGTTTGCAATGTCCGCAAACCATGGTGCTGGTGCTTGGAGAATAGAAAATAGTTGATTATCCGGGAATGAATCGTCGATTGGCAAGTTATCAAGATCACCTACAAGGATAGGCAACCGTGAAAGATGATCGGCCACCACATTTTCGGCACCCTTCTTGTCCCTAATCTCAATGTCATAGTCTTGTAAGAGCAAGACCCACCGTATCAATCTTGGCTTTGGTTCCTTCTTGGACAAGAGGTACTTCAAGGCCGCATGGTCGGTGAAGACTATGACTTTAGATCCCAACAAGTATGACCTAAACTTTTCAATTGCATGAACAGTGGCTAGAAACTCCTTTTCCGTGGTTATGTAATTCCTTTGTGCATCATCCAAAGTTTTGCTAGTGTAGTAGATAGCATGGAGCTTCTTATCCTTCCTTTGTCCAAGAACGGACCCAATAGCAAAATCCGAAGAATCACACATAAGCTCAAAAGGAAGCTCCCAATTAGGGGGTTGAATGATAGGAGCCGAAATCAATGCCTCCTTCAACCTATCAAATAATAGAAAACAATCATTAGTAAACATAAAAGGGGCATCCTTTACTAACAATTGAGTGAGCGACTTTGCGATTTTTGAAAAATCCTTTATGAACCGGCGGTAAAAACCCGCGTGTCCAAGAAAGCTCCTTATCCCCTTCACATTTGTAGGGGGTGGGAGGCGCTCAATGACCTCAATTTTGGCACGATCTACTTCAATGCCCCTACTAGAAATTACATGACCAAGAACAATTCCTTCTTCTACCATGAAATGACATTTTTCCCAATTCAAAACCAAGTTCACCTCTTGACATCTTTTCAATACTTTAATCAAATTCGAAAGGCAAATGTCAAAAGATGAACCAAAAACAGAAAATTCATCCATGAATACTTCAATTGATGATTCAAGCATGTCGGAAAAAATAGACATCATACACCTTTGAAATGTGGAAGGTGCATTACAAAGTCCAAATGGCATCCTTCGATAAGCAAAGGTGCCAAAAGGGCTTGGGTTGGATTGGGATTTGGAAGAATCCCGAGTATCCATCCAAGAAACAATAGTGACTATGTGATGCTAGTCTTTCCAATATTTGATCGATGAAGGGGAGTGGGAAGTGGTCTTTCCGGGTGGACTTATTCAATTTTCGATAATCAATACACATCCTCCACCCGGTGACCGACCTCGTAGAAATGGTCTCACCCTTATCATTCTTGATGATGGTCATGCCTCCTTTTTTAGGCACAACTTGAACCGGTCTAACCCACTTACTAACGGAGATAGGGTAGATTATGTCCGCTTCAAGAAGTTTTAAAACTTCTTTTTTCACAACTTCCTTCATGTTTGGATTGAGCCTTCTTTGGTTCTCAATCGAGGAAGCATGATCATCATCAAGTAAAATCTTATGCATGCATATAGTAGGACTTATCCCCTTAATGTCATCATTTTTTTACCCAATGACACCTCTATACTCCCTTAAACAACTAGGAGTTTCACAAGAGAGGTATTATCAAGTTTAGCATTGACAATAACGGGATAACTCTCACTATCATCAAGAAAAACATATTTAAGTAAAGGAGGAAGGGGTTTAAGTTCAACCTTGTGAGGAGGCGTAGTCCTCTCCTCTTTTACCTCCACATTAAGCACTTCCACTTTCTTTTCGTTGTGGACTAAAGGTTGGTTGAGCAAAAGATCATACCCCCTTGTTTCTTCACCTTCCTCAACTAAGCCTCCCATTAGGATAGCTTGTAAAGGATCTCCTTCAAACAAATTCTCTTGGAACTTCTCTAAGTCCCTTTCCAATGTATCAACTCTATGAACTTCATCATACAATGGATTTTTCAATGTTTGTGGGAATGAAAATGATATTTTCTCATCTCCCACATTCAAGGTCAATCTTCCTTGCTTCATATCAATCACAACACCCGCGGTGTTCAAAAATGGTCTTCCCAAGATTAGGGGCACCGTAGTATCTTCTTCCATTTCCATTACCACAAAATCACATGGCACAAATACTCTTCCAACTTGAACTAGCACATCTTCAAGAATTCCCAAAGGTAGCCTAACCGTGTGGTTGGCCAATTGTAAGGACATTCTTGTTGGCTTCAAGTCTCCCACTTTCAAACTCTTAGCAATAGAATAGGGCATCAAACTCACACTTGACCCAAGATCACATAAAGTATCCATAGCCTCCAAGTCTCCAATCTTCACCGTTATTGCATAGCTACCGGGGTCACCAAGCTTTTGAGGAAGCTTGTTTTGAATGATTGCACTCACCTCCTTAGGAAGGGAGATGGTTGCACTCTCTTCAAGCCTACTCTTGTTGGATAAAAGATCCTTCAAAAATTTTGCATATGTAGGCATTTGTAACATAGCATGAAGAAAGGGGATATTCACTTGAAGTCCTCTCATGACTTCAAGAAAGTTTAAAAACTTTTCATTCAATTTCTTTTCAACAATCCTATGAGGGAATGGAATGGGAGGCTTGTATACTTTCATGGGGGGCTTTTATACCTTTTCCTCATCTCCTTCATTCTTACTTTGTGGCTCCTTTCTCTCAACATCAACTATCTCATTTTCAAACTCACCCTCATTTCTCACCACAACTCCCTCATCTCTCTTTTGTGGCTCCTCTTCACTCATAACCGGCCCTACATAACCTCTCCCCGATCTCAAAGTAATGGCCTTAGCTTGCTCCTTTGGGTTTACAACCGTTGATCTTGGGAAGTGACCACTAGGATTGGAGGATGAACTTCCAACTTGTTGCGCAATTTGAGCCAATTGATTCTCAATTATCTTGTTGTGTGCTTGAAGTTGTTGGATGTTCTCTTGCATATCCGCATTGCTTCTTCCTTGTTGTGTAATGAAGGTCTCAAATGCGGCTTCAAGGCTAGATTTTTGAGGAGGTGGAGGAGCGGGTTGGTTATATTGTTGCCTTTGTTGGTTTTGGTCCCTTTGGTTAGGGTGACGGTAAGGAGCTTGTTGGTTTTGTGGATGATATTGGTTGTATTGGTTTTGAGGGGGGCCTTGATTTTGTTGTTTCCAACCCGTGTTTTGTTGGGGTTTCCAACCTTTATTGTAGGGTTGAGAGTATTGATCGTTTCTTTTCCCAATAGCCGCAGCTTGCTCTTGGTTAGTTGAGTTGCAATAGGAGGACAAGTGATCATTTCCTCCACAAGTTTCACAAGACATGACTTGTTGTGAAGAAGAGCTTGGAGATGTAAGCGTGGCTTGATCTAGCTTGTGAGCTAGCATGTCAAACTTTGATGCAATAAGGTCTATTGCACTAAGGTCGTGGATTCCGCCCTTCTTTGCTTGAGGTTTCCGTCTATCACCTCCGTATGCATAGTGCTTTGCCACTTCTTCAATCATCTTGTATGCATCATCCACCGATAGCTTTTTAAGGCTACCACCGGCACCGTTATCAAGGTTGGCCCTTGAAGTAGGAGTAAGACCATCATAAAAGCTTTGAACAATGATCCATGATGTGAAACCATGGTGTGGGCATTTTCTAGTGTAGTCCTTGAAACGCTCCCAAGCTTCACTTAAGGTTTCATCAATCTCTTGGTTGAAATTGGTGATTTTCCTTCTTAGTTCGCGGTCTTTTCGGGTGGACAATACTTTCCAAGGAAAGCTCTAGTGACTTCATCCCATGTAGTCAATGATCCCTCTTCTACCGTTCTCAACCAATGCTTTGCTTTGTCACGGAGGGAGAATTGAAACATGTGCATATGGATGAACTCTTCTGTAATGTTGTTTTGCTTGATGGTTGTGCACAATTCGAGAAAGTTGTCCAAATGAGCAAAAGGACACTCATGAGAACTCCCACCAAATTGATCACTTTGTATCATCCGGATGAGTTGAGGTGAAAGCTCAAAATTATTTGCATTCGTAGTAGGGAAACGTATGCCACTCCGAAGTGTGAAGGCATTGGGGTGGTCATAATCTCGTAACAATGGTGGAGGAGGATTGTTATCACCCATGTTATCTTCTTCGTTGGTTGCAAAGATTTCCTCCGGATCGGAATCCGAATATACAATAGAGAACTCGGGTGTGCCTTGCAAAAGCCTCCTCACGTTTCTCAGAGTCCTATCTAACTCTGGATCGACGAGAATAAGCGGTGATTGCTTACTCTTCAGTGTCATGCAAGGTCAAACAAAGCTAATAAAAACGTTAGCAATGACTATCACAAGTTGAAAACACAAATATACAAAAATAAATAAGAAAAATTATAATACAAATATACACATTTAGACTCATTCAACAATAATACATTCAATGTGACTTTGCCTCCCCGGCAACGGCGCCAAAATTTGATAGGCCGTCGTCGAGCCTACCAAAGATAAAGTCCTATCTTGGTCTCACTAGCTAATATCAAGGGTAAGAAAGGGTCGAACCCAAGAGAGGCGTTGAATCAACCACCGAAATACTACCGCATAAATAAGCTAAATGAAGTCAAAATTGGTTTGGTTTTATGTAACAAGTGCTAGTTCAAGTCAACTAAAGCTAGGGGAGATTAACAATATTTAGAGACTTCTAGGGCTTGGGATATACCACTCAATTTCGTCACAAATCACAATTAGCAAGTAGCAAACAATGGTAATTTGAGGGGAAAATATAGGGGAAGTCATCTAAAGCACCCAACTACTCTCTCTCAAGCTAGAGGGATTACTCGAATTATTAATACAACCTACTCTCATGGTTACAAAGCATAAAACAAGTACTAAAGCATAATCACGATGACAAAAACATTCCCTTGACTGGAAATTCCTATTCTCATGGCATTTCAAGTCAATTAAGCACAAGGGAGCTAACTCAAGTTCATCTCTCGATCCTTCATTGAGAAAGCTTAGATAATTGTTATAGAAATGGCCATATACAAGAACTAAGCAATTAAACCACTTAAGCTTAACTAATTAACACCCAACAATTACCAAATTAACACATGCAACAAGTAATTAGTGACTACATTGAGGGTTTTACCCAAACCCTAGAAAATTAGACTACTCACAATCCATGGAGATTAAAGCAATTAAGGATTTCAAGTAACTCATGAACAAGAATTAACTAAAGATTAAGCTAAATAACAATCTAAGCATACAAGAATTAAGCAAGATAATTAACAATCAAAGCAATTAAAATGGAAGAGAAGAGTGAGAAAATGTTACTGGAAGCTTCATCTTGAATATCAATGGTGGAACTTGTCTTCTACAATGATTGAGAATGAAATTTCCAAGCTAATAATTATAATCTAACTAATGATTTGAGAATATTTGTGTTTCTACAATTGCAAACTAAGAGGAAGCACTAAAAACTTGCCTGCCGTACAAATGAGCTCAAGGGGTTATTTATAAAGACCCCCAAATAAAAAGGACGGAGAAAACAAGAGTTGGGCACGGCTACAGGTCAGCACGGACGTGCTGAGGTTGGCACGGACGTGCAGCTATACCGGCACGGACGTGCTGAGGTTGGCACGGGCGTGCACCTGGGAGGCAGAAGGTACTGTTTTGGCCAGAGCATCCTGCACGGACGTGCCAAATATGGCACGGACGTGCAGGCCTTGTTCAGTAGAATCAGTTTTGAAACTGATTTGGGCTGAGCAAACTGCACGGACGTGCAGGATCAGGCACGGACGTGCTGAATATCCTGCACGGACGTGTTGAATATCCTGCACGGACGTGCTGAGCTCTGCACGGACGTGCAGGCCTTAAAAGTAGTAGGCAGTAGTTTCTGGTCGTGCTGGAACACTTCTGCACGGACGTGCCATACTTTGCACGTCCGTGCAGACTCTCTAAGGCCTTTATCTTCACTTGTCTTCGGTTTTGCTCCATTGTTTCATCTTCTAACCTCGGTTTATCATCCAAATGCCTCAAATGGTCGTCTTTGAACCTAAAAACCCAACAAAAACACTAACAACCCGTGAAGCAAGGGATACACAAAAGTTGAACAAAAATAGAGTAAAAGTGAACCAAAATGCCAATATACCAAGTAAACATGATTATTTTATGATGATTATTGTGATGATTATTATTATGTTGATTGATTATATATTTATTGTTATTGCTTGATCACACCTTTTTATGCATGTTTAAAGGGAATTGGTACTTTTAATCACACTTAATAAGATAATTAATAATCTTGTTCAGGGTTAATATGTTTATAATTTAAGTGATCGCCAATAATAGATTTATTTGTGCATTAAATTCGACCAACATAGATAAACAGCTTTAGGGTTAATCCTATTGATTGCATGTTAGTCAGAAAGCGCACATGAATACGATCAGAATAAAGTAGAGGCCTATTATTAGGGCAGGTTCAATCTCTTTTAGGTTGGATTTGTACCTTCATCCCCTAACTACCAGTCATGGTTCAGACCTATTGGAGTTGACGATCTCCTGGATCGTTAAGGGGTGTAACCTTCACCTTGTGAATGGTTTACAAGTTCCTAAAACTTGTTGGCGACTCTTTTGCTCTAGCTTCCTTCCTTTTGGACGCCACCGTACTTTAGTGTATGATCATAGTGGGGTTCAAGTTTGGGGTAATGCTTGAAATATTCCCTACATTTTTTGGCGACTCCGCTGGGAAGGATTTCTATTTCAATTCCTAAAATTTATTTTGGCAATTATTTAGAATGAGTGGATGAGACTTGAAAAGTTCTAAGTATTTCATGTGCGTAATTTTGATTAACATTATTGTCATATGCATAAAAAAGATCTCATTGGAAAGACCATCCGTAATGAGTTTAAAACATAGGATTTTTTACACGTAGGAAATTTGAGGAATATCTTTCACAACTAAGATCGAAATAATGCTGTGCGAAACTGGAAAATTTTATCCAGCATAGAAAGCTGCTGAGGCATGTAGGAACTAGCGTCAGAAAATAGAGTCTAGCGCCGAGGATTTGACTCTGGCGCCAGGCGCTAGAGCCAAATTGCGGAACCGGCCTCCGTTTTCTTGCGCCAAGTTCTTTCAATACCGAGCCAGAAATATGCGTTCTAATTTTAACCAGTTTTTAGCACTGTTTGCTTGATCCTACTTCCTGATTGAGTTTTTCTCACTTTTCTGAAACCCATATGTTTTCTACATATGGACATAACCCTCTGGGAATCCATGATCCATCTACCTGATTGAAAGCTTTGTGCAAAAAAGGGTACATCCGAGAATGTTGAATTCACCAAACCATGGAAGCGAGTTTTTAACTCGCGGTGTCCCATCCACTCGCGCCAACCCTTCAAAAGGTAAGGCTTCTACGCGGTGCATCCGGACAATTAACCATGGACCCTATTTGACTAACCCATATCCCGAACTTTAGAGACCTAGAGCCATGGTTAGGTTGCAAACTCATTGCATCATATTATGACTACTTGTGCATTCTTTACTTGTGCATACTCTATGTGTTTTGTCCAACCGTTTGTTTGACTTGTGATTAAGCCTAAATAAACTAATTAATGACTAAAGGACTTTGTTTAATTAATTAATTTGAGCTAAAAAAAATATACCTAAAATCGAGTCATATGTCCTTTAAGTCAACCCGGATTTTTATTCCCATATATTGCACAAGTGTCAACTTGTTTTGATCTTAGTCGGAGTTCTAGGAATAACTACGAGTCGTAGAGCCTATGGATCTGTAGCCCCGAGCTTTATCTTTAATTTGGTGTTGGTTTCGTCCCAATCAGAGTCACAGATAAAAAGTTATGACTAAAATACCACAACCTGTCCAGTTTAATGCATATACATGAAGTCTTAACTTAGTCTTTGCTTGTCTAGTCACATAGTCTAGCCACATGGTCATGGCACGAGTCTTAACATGTCACATACACTCACTAGTATTAGCACACACTTTGAGTATATGTCACCATGACCATGTCTTAGCTTCATGCATGAGTCGTTTTTTCCGTCATTTGAGTTGGAGGTACATTTTATTCCTAATTTTTTTCATATCCCTCCATCTACATCATCTTTCCATTCTCTACATGCTTTCTCCATATCACAACCTTCATTCTTCCTACCTTCTTCCATCCATGCATGTTGAATCGAGTTTGAGTCATGTGATTGACAAACAAAAAAAATAAGGGTAATGATGAAACAAATGCACAAGGCAAGCTTCTCACCAAGATTTCATGCTTTCTTCTTCTTTTTTTCAAACCCTTTCCCCAATAAGTCTAGCATAGGCACCCTTCATCCTCCTTTAATTTATTTCTTAGAGTTTGATTTTTACCCTTCACTTTTTAAATAAAATGAGCATTTATTTTCTTACATATGATCATTGCATTGCAACAAATAAATAAATAAATAAAATCCATGTCAAACTAAGCACAAGGTACACCAATGATTTGAGGTGCTCCTTGTAGCCACATCATATCACCTTTCACCCTTTAAATATGCAATCCTTTCTTAATAAACCACTTTGAGCCTCGTCTAACGATAGACCTTTCTTTTTTCAACCCATATCTACCTAATCTTGGAATGGAATGGTGTGCAACTTATGCAATTTTCAATTTCATAAAAAGCTTGAGTGACTTCAAAAGATTAAAATAGCAAAAAATAAATAAAAGTGTACAAAAGGGCAAGTGTTCCAATGTCTTTGACATGAACATGTCTTTGATATGAACACGTCTTAGATTGCGTCTCTTATCGAGTGCTCGGTATCGTGCCTGAGAAACATGAATGCCAAGTGAGTGATAGACCGCATGATCGGGATTGCCCACACTTTTAAAAATTAAAAAAGAAAAGAGATCAAAAGTGAGAAGCCTCAAGCATAAAAATATAAAGATTTCAAAAGCAAGGTTGCACACCTTGGGGGCTTCTATAGGGGCTTGAGCTTTTATCCCTTTCTTCTTCAACCTTTAGCCTAACCATGTTACAACCCTTAAATACCTTTTTGAGGTATACACACACTTGTGCGAGGTTCGGCTAGAGCTACGTTCGGCCTGATTCCTAACGGATACGTAGGCAACCTTACATCGAGGTGCGGCTGTAATAGACATGCATTCATATTCACATTCACACACTCACATCATGATCATATCAAGGGATCCCCTGTGCTCATCCCTATTCACTTAGAGCTAGACTTGGGGGCTTGATCCCTACATTATTAGCTTACCCAGCCTAAGAGTCACCATCATTTGACTCTTCTAAGAAATTA